GTTTAAGGGGAAGAGGAAGGATCAGAGGTGAGTCCGGGTTGGTGTGATTTTTCTAGGAGGCTCTGGCCAACCACTGTGTGTGTGGTTTGACTATGTGCCCACTGGCACTCTAGGACCAAAGGGTTTACTTAAATCTGGGCACACTCCCCGGCTAAATTCAGCTAGAAGTAGGCAACCCTTTTAGTGCTAGACTCTCTTACCATATATTCAGCAGGTTCTGGATGTCAAAAAGCCCCTAAAAGCAGGGTTCTTTCTTATTGTCTCAGAAGAGAAGAGTTAATGATGGAAAGGGATGATGAGCAGAGGCTAACACTGCCCAGGTTTTCCTCCAGAAGAAAAGTGCACCAGCAGCCATAAACACTGCCTCTCCCATCCTTAGGGGACTACAGAAATAAATGGCTTGGCAGTGCGAAAGCAGTGTTAATCACCTCATTTACCTGAGCCGCTTTCCATTTAAGGTCAATTATTATGTAGCGCTGGAACAATTACGTATACTATTAATTATGTAAATTGACTTACTCAAGTGTTTATTTCATTTAATACTAAAGCTGTGTCACACATTCTCAGTCCTCATATTTAAGCACTCATGAAGCAAGCTATTATCTCAGACCACAAAATTAAAATAATAAATTAATATAAATAAAAGGACCACTAAACCCAGATGAGGAAAGTATAGGTAAGGGGCTTGAGCTAGCATTCAGGATCATCTAGCCAAGGTAAAAGTTTACATTTATTAAATACTTACCATTTATTAACCACTTTTCATATATTTAATAACTTTGTAAATGTTAACTCATTTAACCTTCATCACAAACTTATTGTTAGTTGTTGGATGTCACTGAGTCAGCTCCAATTCTTAGGGACCCCTATGTACAACAGAATGAAACATTGCCTGGTCCTGCACCGTCCTCACAATCCCTGCTATGCTTGCACCCATCCTTGTAGCCACTGTGTCAGTGCATCTTGTTCAGGATCTTCCCCTTTTTTGCTGACCCTTTACTTTACCAAGCATGATGCCCTTCTCCAGGGAATGTTCCCTTATGAAAATATGACCAAAGTAGGTAACACAAAGTCTGGCCATTCTCATTTCTAAGGAGCATTCCAGTTGCACAAATTCCAGGACAGATTTGTTTGTTCTTCTGGCAGTCTATGGTATTTTCAGTTTTCTTCACCAAGACCACAGTACAAAGGCATCAACTCTTCTTTGGTCTTCCTTATTCATTGTCCAGCTTCCACATGTATATGAAGTGACTGAAAATACCATGGCTTGGGTTAGGCATAGCTTAGTCTTCAAAGTGACATCTTTGCTCTTTAACACTTTAAAGAGGTTTTTTGCAGCAGACTTGTCCAGTACAATATCATGACTGATTTCTTGACTGCTTCTTCCATGGGTGTTGATTGTGGATCCAAATAAAATGAAATCTTTGACAACTTCAATCTTTTCTCTATCTATCGTGATGTTGCTTATTGATCCAATTGTGAGGATTTCTTGTTTTCTCTATGTTGAGGTGTAATCCATACTGAAGGCTAGAGTCTTTGATTTATCAGTAGGTGCATCAAGTCACCTTCATTCTCAGCAAGCAAGGTTGTGCTATCTGCATATTGCCAGCTGTTAATGAGTCTTCCTCCAAATCTGATGCCATATTCTTCTTCATGTAGTCCAACTTCTTGGATTATTTGCCCAGCATATAGATTGAATAAGTATGGTGAAAGGATACAACATGGACTGGTACACCATGTGATCCTCAGCCTATATGACTATGAGACCAGAAGAACTAGATGGTGCCTGGCTACCACTGTCAACCACTTGGAGGGAGATCTATGGAGGAGATGCTGGATAGAGTGGGAGAACAATGTGGAACAAAACTCAAAATCATTTATAAAAAAGGACCAGGTTTGCTGGTCTGATAGAGCCTAGTGGAACCACTGAGACTATGGCCCCTAGCTGCCCTCCAGGTCTGGAATTGAACCCACTCCTGTGGCTTCCAGCCAAACAAAAGATAGGTATATGAGCTGAACATTTACACTAGGTAGATACACTCCTTGGAGAGAACAATCATGGGAGAATAGAAGGGTTGTATATGCACAGAGAGACAGCTCAGGGGGCAGGAGTGCATGGAGGGAAGGATAGAGGGAAGAAGTAACTATGGGGAAGTGGGAGGGGAGGTGTTCATTGTGGTAAATTGTAGTCAATGTCATGAGACAACATGTATGTGAACTGCTGTACGGAAACGAATTTGCTCTGTAAACTTTCACCCAAATCACAATTAAAAAAAAAAAGAAAGAAAGAAAAGGATACAACATGGACATACACCCTTCTTGATGTTAAGCCATGCAGTATCCCCTTGTTCTGTTCAAATGACAGCCTCTTGCTCTATGTACAGGTTCCTCATGAGCACAATTAAGTGTTCTGGAATTCCCCTTCTTTGCAATGTTATCCGTAATGTGTTATGATCCACACAGTCAAATGCCTTTGCATAGTTATAAAACACAGGTAAACATCTTTCTAGTATTATTTGCTTTCAGCCAAGATCCATCTGGCATCAGCAATGATATCCCCATTCCACTTCTTCTTCTGAATCCGTCTTGAATTTCTGGAAATTCCCTGTCAATATACTGCTGCAACCATTTTTTAATTATCTTCACCAAATTTTAATTACATGTGATATTAATGCTATTGTCCAATAATTTCCACATGCTGTGGGATCACCTTTTTTGGAAAGGGCACAAACATTGATCTCTTCCAGTTAGTTGGCCAGGTAGCTGTCATCCAAATTTATGGCATAGACAAGTAAGCACCTCCAGTGCTGCATCTGTCTGTGAAACATTTCAATGGGTATTGAAATCAATCATCAATTCCTGGACCCATGTTTTTCACCAACTCCTTCACTTTAGCTTGGATTTCTTCCTTTAACATCATTGGTTCTTGATCATATGCTACCTCCTTAAATGGTTGAACATTGACCAATTCTTTTTGGCATAGTGACTTCCATCATCTTTTCCATCATCTTTTGATGCTTCCTGCATCATTCAATATTTTGCCTATAGAATTCTTCAATATTGCAACTCAAGGCTTGAATTTTTCTTCAGTTCTTTCAGCATGAGAAATGCCAAGTGTGTTCTTCCCTTTTGGTTTTCTAATTTCAGCTCTTTGCACATTTCATTCTAATACTTTACTTTGTCTTCTCAAGCTGCCCTTTGAAATCTTCTGTTCAGCTCTTTTATTCCATCATTTCGTCCATTCACTTTAGCTACTCTCCATTTAAGAACAAGTTTCTCAGTCTTTTCTGACATCCATTTTGGCCTTTTCTTCCTTTCTGTATTTTTAATGACCTTTTACTTTCTTCATGTATGATGTTCTTGATGTCATCTCACAACTCATCTGGTCTTCTGTCATTGGTGTTTAATGTGTCAAATCTATTCTTCAGAAGGTCTCTAAATTCAGGTAAAATACAATCAAGGTCGTATTTTGGCTCTTGTGGACTTTTAATTTTTTTCATCTTCAACTTAAACTTGCATATGAGCAATTGATGGTTTGTTCCACAGTCAGTTCCTGGCCCTGTTTTGTCTGAAGATATTGAGCTTCTCCATCACCTCTTTCCACAGATGTAGTCTATCTGGTTCCTGTGTATTCCACCTGGTGAGGTCCACATGTATAACCACCGTTTAGGTTGTTGAAAAATGGTATTTTCAGTGAATAAGTCCATCTTGCAAAATTTTCCATCATGTGATCTCCAGAATCATTTCTATCATCAAGACCATATTTTACAACTATTGATGCTTCTTCTTTGTTTCCAACTTTTGCATTCCAATCACCAGTAATAATCAATACATTTTGATTGCATGTTTGGTCAATTTCAGACACAGAAGTTGTTATAAATTTTCAACTTTTGAATCTTTGGCTTTAGTGATTATGCATAAATTTGAATAATATTATTAACTGGTCTTCATTGTAGGTGTATGATATTATGTCATCACTGAAAGTATTGTGCTTCAGGATAGATCATAAAATGTTCTTTTTAATGATGAATGCAATGGTATTCCTCTTTCATTTTTCATTCTTGGTATAGTAGACCACATGATTGTCTGATTCAAAATGGCCAATACCAATCCATTTCAGCTCACTAAAGCCTAGGATATCAATCTTTATGGGTTTCATTTCATTTTTGATAACTTACAATTTTCCTAGAGTCATACTTTGTATATTCCACATTCTAATTACTAAGGATGTTTGCAGCTGTTTCTTCTCACTTTGAGTCATGCCCCATCAGCAAATGAAGGCCTAGAAAGCTTTACTCCATCCATGTCATTAAGGTCAACTCTACTTTGAGGAGACAGCTCTTCCCTAGTTGTAGTCTGTGTGCCTTCCAAACTGAGGAGCTCATCTTCCAGCAGTGTATCAGAAAATGTTTCACAGCTGATTATAAAGTTTTCCAATAATATATCAGATTGTTTCATTACTATTCATAAGGTTTCCAGTGGCCAATTTTCTGAGAAGTGGACAGCCCCATCTTACTTCCTAGTCTGTCTTAGTCTGGAAGCTCTGCTGAAAGCTGTCTACCATGGGTGACCTTGCTGGTATTTGACATACTGGTAGCATAGCCTCCAGCCTCACAACAACACACAAGCCACCATATTACAATAAGCTGGCAGATGTGTGGTGGACAAAACTATTAGGTACATACTATTATTATCTTTATTTTACACATCACAAAATAGACACTTAAATAAATTGCTGGAAGTAGTACAGGTAGAAAGCAGCAGAGACAGAATATGATTCAGAAGGCTCATGCTCAAAACAAAGGTACCATACATGTTGGCCACTAGCTAGAAGTGCCCCAAGTAAACTGTAATGCACTGTCTTACTCTATTGAAAAAGAACTCACTCTAAAAAGCTGACAATGGTGAGCTGTGAACAGAAATGAAATCAATTGCACTAGTATGCAATTCCAAATGATAACCAACATTTACATATAACAATTTTGAAGTGTTTTTCTTACTGCGTGCCAGGTAGATCCAGCAGTGAGCTCTGATTTCTCCAGGAGGACCACATCCTTCATCCCTGCTTTGGCCAGGTGATAAGCTAGACTCACACCAATGCAGCCACCTCCAATTATCACTGTTTCTGCTCTGTCTTTCCATTTTATTTCTGTAGTTAAGGATGATTTTTCCTCTCTGGAAGACAATTTTTTAAAATGGTAATTTTGCTAGGCTGTAGTAGCTATAGGCTTTGTCCAACTAAGATGCTTCCCCTTACTATATTGTTGTTGTTGCTATGTGCCGTCGAATTGGACTGACTCATAGCGACCCCTCCTTGGGTTTCTGAGGGAGTATCACTACAGAAGTAGATTGCCCAAACTTCCTTCCAAATTATTAGTAACTTAATATCTCTTTGTTGTTGTTACATGCTGTGGAGTCAATTCCAACTTGTAGTGACTTTACAGGACAGAGTAGAACTGCTCTGCAGAGTTTTCAAGGAAATAAATCTTTATGGAAGCACACTGACACATCTTTCTTCTGCACAGTGGCTGGTGGTTTCAAATCACTAATCTTTCGGTTAGCAGCCAAAAACTTAACCACTGTAGCACCAGGGCTCATTCAATGTCTCTTTGTTGTTGTTGTTATGTACCATCGAATCAGACCCGACTCACAGTGACCCTCCTTGGGTTTCCGAGGCAGTATCACTATGGAAGTAGATTGCCCCATCTTCCTTCCGAGGAGTGGCTGGTGGTTTGAACCACCAGGCTGCTGGTTAGCAGTCAAATGCCTTAGCCACTATGCTACCAGAGCTCAGTCCCCTTTAATTTGGGACAATTCCTCAGACTTTGTGTTTCATCACCTTGACATATATGGAATACCAGCCAGTTATTTTATAGAATGCACCTCATTCTGAGTTTGACTGGTGTTTTCTCATGGTCAGAATCAGGTTAGGTATGTTTGACAAGATGTGATGTTGTGTCCTTCTCAGTACATCTTATTAGAGGCACATGATGTTGTTTTATCCCAATATTAGTGTTGTTATGTTTGATGACTTCTTGAAATAGTATCTATCAGATTTATCCTCTGTAAAGATACTATAAGCAATATGTGGGGTGATACTTTGAGACTATGTAAATATCCTGTGCTTCATCAAACTGTGAGTGGTTTTAGCATCTGCTGTTGATTTTCTAACTTCATCATTCCTTAGATGGTTAAGTTTGCATTCTACTATAAAAAGTGCTTTTCCTTTTTGCCAATTTGCTTGCTTGTTTTATTGCTTATTTATATTAGTATGAACTCGTGGATATTTATCTTATTCAATAGGATATAATCTCTTACTATCTTTCATTTATTTGAATGTCAAGTTGTCCTAGATTTAACCAGCAGGAGTTTCTTCCAGTTGCCTCCTATGACCTTTGACATACCCCATGATTCTTTGAGCACTTCCTTACTTTCTAGAGTCACATTATGTTCCAGTACTTTGGTTTAACTGATTTTTTTAAAATGACTTTTGACATCTCTTTGTGTGCTGTGTAAGAAATAAACTAATGCACTTATGACTACTGGCTACTTTGCATAGCAATAAACTTTTAAATGGTCTGGGGATATCTTTGGGAGCTCTAGTGGTATAGTGCCTAAGGCATGTGACTGCTAACCAGGAGGCTGGCAGTTCAAACCCACCAGCCACTACTTGGAAAGAAGGCTGAGCAATCTACTTCCATAGTGATACCTCCTTAGAAACCCAAGGAGTGGTCGCTATGAGTCATAGTCGACTCGATGGCAGTGAGTTTGGGAATTTTTTTTTTTGTAGGGAGGAGGGCTATCTTGTTTTTTAATTGAAATCATTTTAGTGGTAACAAACCAATCATGTTAAAGGCTCTTTTTTTTTTTTTTTTTTGCAGGTAAATTTATATATATATATATGATTTCTTTCAGGAAAGGCTGGGAGAAATAAAAAGAATAAAGAAAGAACTTAAGGTCAGAAATCCTGGGTTTGAGACGCCAATCTAATCGACTATTTTAGGAAAACTTAGTCCAGTGACTCAAAATTTCCTCATCTGTAAAATGAGATTGTGAAGGTTCCATTCAGTAATGTAGAATAAGCATTATCGAATGTATCTTATTCCTTCTGCCCAGCATGCCATAATGAGTTTCACACCAGGTATAGTGTTCGTAAACTGTGTATAAATTATCTTAAATTCCATTTGTGAGTAATCAGAGATGGTTGTAAAGATATTGGAAATCAAATAAAGTCAGGATATGTAGAAATACAGTTGCCTATCTTCTATTAGAAATGGAAATTTTAAATTGCCATTGTGCTTGTCCAACTGTCTTCCAAAATAAAACACTGTCTTGAAAGTGTGGAATTGGGTATAGAAAGAACATGCAGAAGAAATAAAATTATTTAAATATTCATTTGTTCACTACAGAACTGCACAGTACTAAAGAGAGCAAAATCTACTTTTTGGATAGTTCTGAATTATTTATTTGTCTAATCCACTTTAAATAGAGTGATTCCATGTGGTAAAATTTCTATTTCAGTTTTCACTGGAATAAAAAGTATTTTTAGTACTTTAAATATCTATGTGATGTTTTAAAGAGAACTGGTTGGTCAGTGGATAAGCACTCAGCTGCTAATCAAAAAGGTAGCCCTTTGAACCCGCCAGCCACTCCAGGGCAGAAAGATGTGGCAGTCTGCTTCCATGAAAATGACAGCCTTGGAACCCTATGGAGCAGTTCTACTCTGTCCTAGAGAGTCACAAAGAGTCAGAATCAACTCAATGGCAACAGGCTATGTGATGCTATACAGTTTACAAAGCACTTTTACACCCATTCTCTTATTTAATATTTACAATAATTCTGTGAGTTAGGCAAATCATAGACCACTATCCTCATTTTATAGATGAGGAAACTGAAACTCAGAAGTGTAAGTTCACATCTTATGTAATTCATGGAACAATTCATATGACTTGGTGATTATTGTATTCCCAGCACCAGAAACAAACCTAACACTTCAGAGACAGCCAGAAAATACTTGTTGAATGAAAGAATGGACAGATGGATGGGTGAAACTCAAAATCAGGATTTTTGATTCCAGAATTTCAGGTCACAGCATGTAAAAATCAATGTTGATTCAACTCATAATGTTAAATGTTGCTAGTAAACAAGACTTTCCTTGCAGCCTCAAATAATCATCAACATAGAAAAGTCAAAAGATGTTCAGTATTGCTCATATTTAAATAAATGCAAATGGAAGAAAAGAAAATATTATGTTCACCTATCAGATTTAGCAAAGATCAAAAAGTTTGCTACTCTTGATGCCAGGAAAGATATAGGAAACAACCCTCACACACTGCCAGTGGGACTGCAGATTGCCACCACTGATTTGGAGCACAATTCGGCCCTATCTTTCAAAATTTAGAATGCACATAACCCTTTTGCCAGCAGTTTCACTTTTAGAAATGGATTCTACAGACAGCCTCCCACATGCACTGAAAGATATGCTCATAAGAATGTTCACACCTACATTGTTTTCAGTAACAAAAATTTGAAATAGTCTAAACATTAATTAACAGGTGAGTACTTAATTAGATTGTGGAATTTTGACAGGATGGGAAAACCATACAGCTGTTTAAATGAATACTGCTAAGCAATATGTGATGACATGGAACAATCTCCCGAACACTGATAACTGTAAAAAGTAAGGCATAAGTGAGCCAATGGAGAAAATATTAAAGTTGTGAAGGATTTAATTTTACTTGGATTGACAATCAATGGCCATGGAAGCCACAGTCAAGAAAGCAAATGATATATTGTACTGGGAAATCTGCTGCAAAGGACCAGTTTAAAATGTTAAAGAGCAAAGATGGCACTTTGAAGACTAAGGTGCATCTGACTCAAGTCATGGTATTTTCAACTTTGTCTCATATGCATGTGAAAGCTGGACAGTGAATAAGGAAGAACAAAGAAAAGTTGATGCATTTGAATTATTGGTGGTGACAAATATTGAATATATTATCACAGACTGCCAGAAAAATGAACAAATCTGTGTTGGAAAAAGTACACTCAGAATGCTTCTTAGAAACGAGGATGGCCAGACTTCTCTCACGTACTTTGGACATATTATCAGGAGGGACTCATCCCTGGAGAAGGATATCAAGTTCAATAAAGGGTCAGTGAAAAACAAAAGGAAGATCCTCAATGAGATGGATTGACACAGTGGCTGCAACAATGGGCTCAAACACAACAATGATTGTGAGGATGGCATAGGATCACTCTGTTATGCACGCGGTTTCTGTGAGTCTGAACTGAAATAACAGGCACCCAACAACAATATAATCACAAGTGAGCCAAAGGAATCCGTGAGTGGTTAACTGGTTAAAGCCCTTGATTGCTAACTGAAAGATTTTAATCCAGCCAGAGACACCTCAGAAGACAAGCCTGGTGATCTACGTTCACTGAAAACCCTACGGAGCACAGTTCTACCCTTGACATACATGAGGTCGCCATGAATCCGATTCACAACTATTTTTTTTTAAAGTCAAAGAAGAAAATAGTGCATACACCTGTGTTTGTCTATGCATGGACCATCTCTGGATTGATACAGAAGACACTATTGACAACTGTTGACTGGGGAAAGGGATTGAGGCAGAAGGGACATTGCATGGGGAAGCCTTTGATACTGCTTCAGTTTGCACCATTGTGCATGGTAAATAACATTCATGGTAAAGTAAATTCAAGAAGAACGCTAAGTTTTAGAAGGCAGAAGTGCTTCTAATTCTGGAGACTGCTTCAGCTCCTCGCTGCCACCCTCCTCAAGAGCCCAGCTGCGGCTGCGTGTGCTAGACCTCAACTCACCCTTCCCGGCTGTAGACTGAGCGCGGGCGGCCCGGGGAGTGCGCAAGCTGCGCAATCCGCAGCTGGAAACTCCGCAGAGGAAGGCCCCGCAGCCGCTGCGCGCCCCGGCGGAGCATGGCGAGGCCAAGGGCGCGGGCACCTGCTTTGAGACCAGCCCGCAGCCTGGAGACTAGGGCCGGCGGGGCAGCCGTCCGACCCACCCCGGGAAAGGGACTGGCCGGCGGACGAGGGGCGGGCTCCTGGACTGGAGGGCGCCTGGGCACCAGAAGCCCAAGAAGCTGCGGGATAATGGCACCAGCCGGAGGCCCAGGGGCCAAGAAGGTGAGTTTCTGAGAAAGCAGGAGGTTCTCAGCCCTCCGGGCCTGGAGGCTCCGAGCAACTCGTGATCCAATCCCGCCTTAGCCACTAGTCAAACTCTACGGGTTTGAACAAGGTACCTGCCCGCCTCTGAACTCGGTTAATACTATTACGAGTTCCCGGGAATGGTGATACTGCCTCGGTGTGAGCACTAGATAACAATCAGTTAATATTTATTGAGCCCAGAAAGTGCTTTACATGAATTTTCTCCACCTCTTCACATACCCTCATGAATAGGCATTATCTTCATTTCACCTGTGAGGAAACAGACTAAGACTAGCTCAGCGTCCCCGATGTAGTTCAGGGTGGAGCAGGGATTTGCAATGGAGCTTTGGGACTTCAGAGGCCAGTCTCATATTTTCTTCCCTCAACGGCCCAAGCAGCACAGCTCTTTGCGGTTAACGCGCCTCCAGACCCTCTGGAAACTTATTTCGCACTTTGGGAACTGCCACAGCTGGAACCTGTCCCAGACCCTCCAGAGCCGCCCCGGGGGTGGGTATGAGCGGAATCCGCCGCCTCCGCGCGGCCCTGGACTTCGCGTTCCAGGCTCCAGGGCCAGGAGCCTTTTCCCTTCCCAACCCTTGCCGTGGTCTGTTCCTTGACCTCACCACCAGCTGTTGGCTTTGTCTTCCTTCCCATGGGGGCTGGGGGTGGGGGCGGCAAGGGGATGACCAAGCAAAAACAGAGGTATGAACTTCAATGCAGAATATATCAGGACCCCTCAAAACAACCCACCCAACCCTGAGCCCGCAAATTCAGTAGAGTGAGGGCAGGAGGAAAATATAGGCCTGGAAATGTACACTACCTGCTTATCCTAAAAAGTTAGCTGCAACCGAGATGCCCTGCAATGGGCATCTTGGCTACAGCTAAATAACTTAAGGTTCATCCACTTAAGGCATAATTTTAAAAGTATGGAACAGGCAAAAGGGCTTTGGCAATATGAAGTTACAAAAGGAAATATTGTATCACAGACTTATCCCAAGTATGTAAAATATTTTTATAAACACTGTAAGGAAAGGCACAATAACGGTAATACTTACCTAAGCTATGGAATATGGGTTTAAAAAAACACGGTTTTGGATATGTTTTTTCTGATTATAAAAGTAAAATGTGGGTATTGAAAAAAATGAGGGTAATAAAAGGATTAAAAAAAAAAGCAAAGAACATTCAGATGATTTCTTTCTGTAAACTTTCTGTAATGCTATGTCCAACTCGATAGCACATAACAACAACATGTTCACTTATATAGGTTTTTGGTTTTTTTTTTTAAGTTTTAAAACATGCTGTCCTTTGTATAATTTCTTTAGGGCTTCTACTCTAACAACACCAGTGTTACCATACACTTGTTGTTGTTGTTATTTGCCGTCGAGTCGGCCCC